ATCAGCCTGGGCAACACAACGAGACCCCATCTCTACAAAGAAAACAAAAAAGAAAAAAAAAGAGATACCTAGAATAGTCAAACTCAGACACACAGAGTAGAAGAGTGGTTGCCAGGGGCTGGGAGGAGGGGAGAACAGGGTATTGTTTAATGGGTACAGAATTTCAGTTTTACAAGATGAAAAGTGTTCTGTGGCTAGATGGTGGTTATAGTAGCAAAAGAACAAAATCAGGTGGGCACAGTGGCTCACAACTGCAATCCCAGCACTTTGGGAAGCCAAGGCAGGAGGATGGCTTCAGCTTAGAAGTTTGAGATCAGCCTGGACAACAATGCAAAACCTGGTTTCTACAAAAAATACAAAAATTACCCAGGTATGGTGGCGTGCACCAGTAGTCCCAGCTACTCGGGAGGTTGAGGTGCGAGGATGGTCTGAACCCAGGAGGCAGAGGTTGCAGTGAGTGGAGATCATGCCACTGCACTCCAGTCTGGGCAACAGAGCCAGACCCTCTCTGGAAGATGATAATAATAATGGACATTAAGTACAATGCTGCTGACATGTCTTTTGCTATAAAAAAAAAATAAAACCATGAAATGAGCACATGTATTTTTAGGTTATTTTAAACAAATTATGAGGAAGCAATAGGCTGTATAGGCTTCAGTCTCTAAAATACAAACACACAGGAGTTCGAGACCAGCCTGACCAACATGATGAAACCCCGTCTCTACTAAAAATACAAAAATTAGCTGGGCGTGGTGGTGGGCGCCTGTAATCCCAGTTACTTGTGAGGCTGAGGCAAGAGTATCGCTTGAACCCGGGAGGTGGAGGTTGCAGTGAGCCGAGATCGCGCCACTGCACTCCAGCCTGGGTAACAGAGTGAGACTGCATCTCAAAAAACAAAACAAAACAACAAACAAACAAAAAACATACTTGGGAAAATTCAACTGTATTTTTGTATTTTTTCTCTTAAAAAATACTTCTTCATTTCCTGCTGGGGTGCCAAAAAATAAAAATTTTAAAAAGAATCCCTTTGAAATACCTAATTTGAAAAGAATTAGCTGCATAATAGAGCCATAAACAAAGTTCACTGAGTATTTGCTTAAAAAAGAACAACCTTAGGTTGGTTCTTAGTAATAACATCCATTGTTTTATACTGACCAATAACCACAGATAATTTTGTTACGTGCCCAGTACTATGAGGGACATCCCTCATGCATACCCGCCTTTCCATCTCCACCTCCACTATTGCAGTTATTTCCTAAAAAAAATCTTTCTGATTATTGGGAGGCCGAGACAGACGGATCACAACGTCAGGAGATCAAGACCATCCCAGCCAACATGGTGAAATCCCGTCTCTACTAAAAATACAAAAATCAGCCAGGCGTGGTGGCACGCACCTGTAGTTCCAGTTACTCAGGAGGCTGAGGCAGGAGAATTGCTTGAACCCAGGACACGGAGGCTGCAGTGAGTCACGATCGTGTCACTGCACTCCAGCCTGGGCGATAAGAGCGAGACCCTGTCTCAAAAAAAAAAAAAAAAAAAAAATCTTTCTATTATCAAACTCCCACAGCACTACCAGAGTGATCACCAAGTCAAAATATACTGAGTGCCTACTTTGTGCCAGTAACCGCTCTAAGGTGCTAAGGATACAGTAATGGAATCAGACACAGTCACATTCAGAGTTCACAGTCTGGCCCAGGAGAAAGAAAAACTAAATCATGTAATTCCAGGTAGCAAAAGTGCTATGAAAAGCAAGCAAGAGGGTAAGAGGCAAGCTATTACAGACTTAAGTCAGGCAAGGCCTCTCTGAGACGAATGACATTTGACAGGTAATACTCCCCCGACTACTGTACCAAGAATGTCTGTTTTATTGGAAAAGTAATGGTGATGTACATCCAGATGCTTCATCCCAGCAAATCTTCCATAGTCTATGAGAAGCGATTCTGTATAGTAAAGCATAAAATGATGGAGTAATAGTGAGACACACAGTGAAAAGAGAAAAGCAAGTTTTACATCCTTTGGTAGAGTAGCACAGTGTGTGTTAATACTGTGGAACTAGAAAAAGTCTCACAGAAGGGAGGTCAGTATTCAGATGCTTGTAGAAAACCCTTTCCAGGTTCTTCCAGAACACACATTTCTGACTATGTCACTCTTCTCAATTCCATAGCTCTCCACAGTTAATCATGCTGGAATGAGACCCTTCATTGTGGCATTAAACTACTTTACCATTCATATTTCCCAAGGTCTCTCCACGAGTACTCAGTTTTCCAAGAAAACAAGCATTCTAGTGAATCCTCTTCCTTCTACCTGGGTCCCCTCCCCATCAAATCTCTTTCTTATAAACTATAAGTACCTACCAAAGTCCTATCCTACAAAGCACATCTCAAATACCAACTCCTAAAGACATGAATATGATTTCCCCAAAGAAATGGCATCTCCTGGCCAGGCACGGTGACTCATGCCTGTAATTCCAGCACTTTGGGAGGTCGAGACAGGCGGATCACCAGGTCAGGAAATTGAGACCATCCTGGCTAACATGGTGAAACCCTGACTCTACTAAAAATACAAAAAAATTAGCCGGGCGTGGTGGCAGGCACCTGTAGTCCCAGCTACTGGGGACGCTGAGGCAGGAGAATCACTTGAACCCGTGAGACAGAGCTTGCAGTGAGCCGAGATCTCGCGCCACTGCACCCTAGCCTGGGCGACAGAGTGAGACTCCATCTAAAAAAAAAAAAAAAAAGAAGAAATGGCATCTCCTTCCTCAATTCCCTTTCCAGTCCAATTCCATATTATAGGATTCATGGCTGAAGAAACAGGCTTATTCACTTTTCTCTTATGTTTTCAATATTAGATATTCATTTATTCAATATGTAAAAGACTAAAGGAGATCTACAACTAGGCTCAGGAGAAACAGTCAACATGGGATGAAGTCCTATTTGGTATGGTTCTAGGCACTAAATCCTATGGCTGGCTGGGTGAGGTGGCTCACACCTGTAATCCTCGCCCTTTGCGAGGCTGAAGTGGGAGGATCACTTATGGCCAGGAGTTTGAGACCAGCTTGGGCAACACAGCAAAACCGTGTCTTTACAAAAAAATTATAAAAGTTAGCCAGGCATGGTGGCACACGCCTGTAGTCCTAGCTGCTCAGGAGGCTGAGGCAAGAGGATTGCTTGAACCCAGGAGTTCCAGGTTACAGTGAGCTGACTGGACCACTGCACTCCAACCTGGGCAACACAGCAAGACACTGTCTCTAAAACATAAATAAAACGTGGTGGTTTCATAGGAAATCTTAACGGAATAGTAAAGTAGCACAGGCTGTGTGTAAACCATCTTTGCTACTAACTTGATATGAACCTCAGGGAAGTTATTTAGCTTCTCTGGGTTCAGTTTCCTCATCTATAAAATGGTGAGAGGCTGTGTATGGTGGCTCACGCCTGTAATCCCAGTACTTTGGGAGGCTGAGGCAGGTGGATTACTTGAGCCCAGGAGTTTGAGACCAGCCTGAGCAACACAGCCAAACACCATCTTAAAAAAAAAAAAAAAAAAAAAGATGAGACTATCACCTATTTCAAGGGTTGGTGTGAAAAATTAAGTTCATACACAAAAATGTACTTGTTCAATACGTCAGCTGCCAACTTGTTTTTCATTATATTATTATTTCTGAAGACCCAATTTCTTCATCGGTAAATTGAGACTATCAGACTTCTTTCAACACAGGTATTTCACACATAGGTGCCACAAAAACACTGAAGATGTCAGAGATCACCATGAGCTAACAGGCAGGGGTAAGCGTCATAAAAGAGCCAGAAGCCAGGCTAGGCACAGAAAGATGCAAGCTGGGTAGAGACATGCAGAGGATGACATTCTAGGGAGAAAGACTGAACTAGCGAAGGCTAGGAAGTGAGAATAAATGCGGAACACGCTTATAAAGGAAGACAATTTAGCTAGTTTGTGTTTTTGGCAATGGTGGAAAATAAGATATGATCTAAATGACTTTAAATATAGTGGACTAAAAACAACTGATTATATAAACCACATTACTTTATCACTTGCATTTCTGGAGGTGGAAGAAACAGTTCTAGTGACAGTGATTAGCATCTACTCTACATAATACCTTGAGAGTATCTCACACACTATATAGAGGTCAGTTCTTTAATGAGAATCTATATAAAAACTCAAGAACGTAATCACATTCTTCTAAACTAAATATAAGTAAATGCTAGGTTATGGTTATTTTAGAAGCATCCCTTCTCTTGTCAGCTTAAAGCAACTGAGAGCTGATTATATGACTATCAATGTAACAAAACAAATTTAAATAACTGCACTCCTCTCTTTTATTAAATTGCTACAATATAAATCAGATATTATCATTCCTCCGATCGAAACCCTCAGATCCTTCTTAAGTAATAGCCTAAAAGGCTCTGGTTGTTCTGCTCACTCCCTTCCCCCAATTCTTCCCAGACTTCATCTCCTAATACTCCCTCAGCTCACAGTGCTCCAAACGCATTGGTCTTCGCACTCTTAACGGGCCAGCTTTGTCCTTCTCAAGGCCTTTATATTTGTTACTCTCTAGCTTGGAACGTTCCTTTCCCCAGATAAACATAGGCTCACTCCTCCTTCTAGTCCGCTTAAACATAAGCTTGTCTGTAGGGACTTCCCTGACCACTTTATTGCAAATTCTAACAACACCTCCCCAACCCCCTTTCCAGCTTTCTTTTTGCTAAGGTACTGATCATCTTCTAACATTGAGTATAATTTATGTATTTCTTTGCCTCTCCTTGCGCTACTAGAAAGTTAAGTTTCACAAAGGCAGGGGTCTAACACCTATCTCTATCACCTAGAACTGCGCTAGAGAATAGGCACCAATAAAAATATCACTTCAATGAATGAACTGTACATTAGGCATTGTGTAAATGCCTCTTCCAGGTACAGAAAGACACATTTTCTTTTCCCAGCTGTCAAAGTCTAAATGTTAATTTTTGTACAAAACACTCACTGCTCACCTCCTATACGCCAGAACTGAGCCAGGCTCTGCAAAGTGACTTAAGACACAGTCCCTGCCTTTTAGGAAGTCCTGGGTGTGTATATGAGGGAGGACAGACATAGAAACATCATTCACAAAAAGAATATACAGGAAATTGGATAACTGCCTATAGGAGTGTAGGCAACAGGGAAATTCTCAGTGATGAGAATATAATTCCCCAAAACTCTCGAGAGCTTCTCCTATGTTTTTGATGCATATGTTTGTAACTCCACATAAATTATTTATTCACATCAGATAGGCTTTCAAGTAGGCCGCAAAAAAGTTTGGGTGACAAAGTGATGCTAATAATCGACCTACTCCAGGCTGCACAAAGATCATCGCTTACATTTCTTCACTCCTCTCATTTGGCAGCTTTTGCCTATCAGGACCCCAAATTCGGAAGCCTGCATCTCCCAAGCGCTGCCTCCTTGGGCCAGAATTCTCCCCGCGCTATCCCTGCCTCGGAGCCGGGCACCCTGCAAATCCCTTTCCTAGGCGAGCGGGCGCCGCCTCCGGAAAGTCGCCAACTGGGCCTCGGTAAGACTTGCGAGGGAAGCGGGAGCTGTGGGAGGGCGACGCGGCTAGGAAGGAACCCTCGAGGCCTCTGCCCGCACTCCCACCCCTTCCCAGCACCCCGGCCGCCGGTGCCCCGAGGCTCTGCCGACTCTTTGTTAAGCAAGGCCGCGGTTCCTCCGCCCTCGCTAGGCCCAGCAGTTGCCTCCAGTGCCCCTAAGGACTAGCGGCCCTGCGTCCAAAACCCCCACGCACAAACCTGCTGCTATGGCTGCAGCCGCAGCTGCTACCACCGCCGGCACGGAGAGAATCCCGCGGCCCAAAGTACGTGCTGTCCCAGCCCGGTCCCGCCGCGCTCCTTCCTCTCCGCCCCCTTCGCCGCCGCCGCCACCGCCACCGCCACCGCCACCGCCACCGCCACCGCCTCACGGCCCGTTGCTGAAGGGGGGAGGGTAACAAAAACCCGACATGCGCAGTGAGGAGTGCGCGGGCCGAAGGGCGGGGCCGGGGCTACGACTCCCGGAAGGCGCCTGACCTAAAAGCTCCAGAACGCCTCCCAGGCTCCTCAGATACTCTGACAGGAAACTGCTAGTTGGGTGGACAGAGTTCATGACCCGTCTAGAAAGTGGGTCTGGGAATGAAGAAAAAGCGGCGTCAGGAGGCTGGTCAAAAAATCCCAAGAGAAAATGGGTTGGGCAGAAACCACATTTACATGAACATGCCTATCATTTAAACTCTGGTCCGTTGCAAATACTACTACAGCGACACTCTTGCCTTTGGCCACGTGGTTCCGCACAGCATCACTACCTTTAGCTTCCGGAGCACCGGTTCCGTGTGACGTCAACTTGACGGAACCCTACGGAGGAGGATTGGTATAGGCGAGAGCAGTTCCGGCCCAGGGGCGGGGATTATGTAATTTTCCCAGAAGCCCCACCTCGCCTCAGCTGGGCGGCGAAGAGGGAGGTCTCGCGCTGTCCCCGGTGTTGCGTCCCGCCCCGCACACTGCACACTGCACACTGCGCGCAGGCGCTGACGAGCCGCTCGCATTCTACGTAACGGACGGCGGAGGCTACGTGAAGAGAGGCGCGGCGTGCCTGAGCTACGGGTTCTGGCTGTGTCCTAGAGGCATCCAGGGCAGTAAAACAGCTGCGATCGCGGAGGCTGCGGCCAGGCCGAGAGGCAGGCGGAGCAGGGGTGGCGGACGTAGGGCGCTGGGCCGGGTTTCGGCCTTGGCCACAGGTAAGGAGCGGGCCAGGACGCGCTTGTCGGCGGGGCCGGCCCAGGCCGAGCGGTGACTCCGAGTTACTTGGCCTGTAGCCCGGTCCGGTTGAGATAATTGTAATGGTTTAGGGGAACTTTCCCACGGAGCTGTGAGCAAATGATAGCCAGAAGGGCAGAGTTAGAGGAAATGTACAGTGTGTGCCGCAGGATGACATTAGGATGTATTGATTCTCTTGGGTGGGGAGAAGCTAGGCGAGGGGGTTTAATAGAAGCAAAAACCTCTGTGGCCAGTCTCCTCTGGAGGTTTCTAGCATGAAACGTGTTTGTATCCAACACGTACAAGGAGACAGAGGAAAGTCTGCATGATTTCCAGAATACTCGTTCTGGCCGTTGTCAGAAAGACCTAATCTAAAATGACAACAAGGAATAATGGCCTCACTCAGTCCCCTTCCCTCAAGTCTGGACTCAGTCGCTGAGGAACTATTGGATGAGGTTGCAGAAAATAATCAAACCAGACTTGTCAGTGCTTGTGTGAATTTTCCTTGGTCCTGTGTTGCTTGCTTCAGGAGTCATAGAGGCTGGGTGGCCTGGCAAGAACTTGTGCATTTGAGAACTGAGTTAACAGGTGCAGCAGAGACTTCTAAGGGGGAAGGCCAAGGTAAAAATGGCTTGGATGGTTGTAACCTAAATAACCTCGAAGGATCTCCATTATAGTGCTGAGTTATCTCAGAAGTGTTTCTGTGGTGTGAATATTCTAAGTGGAAATTCAATTTGAAATGATCAGATCTTTTGGTAGGCTGTTAATCGAGTTGGCTGTTCCAGTGTTAACTTTTAGTTACTTATATTTGAAAAAAAAGTTTTAAGAGTAGGATTTGAAAAGGAGGCCGGGCGCGGTGACTCACGGCTGTAATCCCTGCACTTTGGGAGGCCGAGGGGGGCGGATCACGACGAGGTCAGCAGATCGAGACCATCCTGGCTAACACAGTGAAACCCCGTCTCTACTAAAAATACAAAAAAATTAGCCAGGCGTGGTGGTGGTGGGCGCCTGTAGTCCCAGCTACTTGGGAGGCTGAGGCAGGAGAATGGCGTGAACCCGGGAGGCGGAGCTTGCAGTGACCCGAGATCACATCACTACACTCCAACCTGGGCTACAGAGGGAGACTCTGCCTCAAAAAAACAAGTAAAATAAATATGAAGAAAAATAAAGACAAAATACCCACAATTCTACTATATAAGCTAACTACTATTTGTATGTAAATGTATGTTTTTCTAAACCAAATTTGTCCAACCCATGGCCTGCAGACCGCATGTGACCCAGTACAGCTTTGAAAGTAGCCTAACACAAATTTGCAAACTTTGTTAAAACATTATGAGATATTTTTTAGCTTATCGACTATTATTAGTGTGTTTTATGTGTGGCCCAAGACAATTATTCTTCTTCCCATGTGGCTCAGGGAAACCAAAAAATTGGACACCCCTGTTAAACTTTTTTGTTTTGTTTTTCTTTTTCTTTTTTTTTTTTGAGATGGAGTTTCACTCTTGTTGCCCAGGCTGGACTGCAATGGCACTGTCTCAGCTCACTACAACCTCCACCTCCTGATTCAAGCGATCCTCCTGCCTCAGTCTCCCAAGTAGCTGGGATTACAGGTGCCTGCCACCATGCCCGGCTAATTTTTGTATTTTTAGTAGAGATGAGTTTTCACCATGTTGGTCAGTCTGGCCTCAAACTCCTGACCTCAGGTGATCTGCCCACCTTGGCCTCCGAAAGTGCTGAGATTATAGGTGTGAGCCATCGCACCCAGCCAAACCTTTTTCTTTATGTGCATTTGCTTCTGAAACAATCTGGTTTTCACCTTCATTTGTAACTTTTTTTTTTTTTTTTTTTCATTTAGACAGGGCCTTGCTCTGTTGCCCAGGTTGTAGTGCAGTGGTGCAGTCATGGCTCACTGAAGCCTCAACCTCCTGGGCTCAGGTGATTCTCCCACCTCGGCCACTAGAATAGCCGGACTACAGGTGCACACCACCAGACTTGACTAATTTATTTATTTATTTTTGAGACAGAGTCTCCCTATGTTGCCGGGGCTAGAGTGCAGTGGTACGATCTCAGCTCACAGCAACCTCTGCCTCCCAGGTTCAAGTGATTCTCATCAACCTCCCAAATAGTTGGGATTACAGGTGTGCGCTACCACGCTGGCTAATTTTTGAAATATTTTTAGTAGAGGCAGGGTTTTACCATGTTGGCCAGGCTCGTCTCTAATTCCTGACCTCAAGTGATCTGTCTACCTCGGCCTCCCAAACTGCTGGGATTATAGGAATGAGCGTGAGACTTAGCTAATTTAAAACATTTTTTTTGTAGAGAGGAAGTGTCACTATGTTGCCCAGGCTGTGTAACCAATTTTTTAATTACTTTGAGGTTTTTTTTTTTTTGAGACGGAGTCTCACTCTGTTGCCCAGGCTGGAGTGCAGTGGCCGGATCTCAGCTCACTGCAAGCTCCGCCTCCCGGGTTCACGCCATTCTCCTGCCTCAGCCTCCCGAGTAGCTGGGACTACAGGCGCCCGCCGCCTCGCCCGGCTAGTTTTTTTGTATTTTTTAGTAGAGATGGGGTTTCACCGGGTTAGCCAGGATGGTCTCGATCTCCTGACCTCGTGATCCACCCGTCTCGGCCTCCCAAAGTGCTGGGATTACAGGCTTCAGCCACCGCACCCGGCCTTACTTTGAGGTTTTTATTTTGTTATTTGTGTTTTGTTTTGAGGCATGTTTCACTGTTACCCAGGCTGGAATGCATTAGCATGATGACAGTTCACTGCAGCCTCGGCCTTGAGAGCTCAAGCAATTTTCTCACCTCATTCCTTGAGTAGCTGGGACTACAGGCACATGCCGGCAAACCCAGCTAATTTTTCTATTTTGTTTGTAGAGGTGGGTTTTTGCCATGTTGCCAAGGCTGGTCTCCAGCTCTTGTGCTCAAGCAATCCACTCTCCCCAATCTCCCACAGTGCTGGGATTACAGGGGAGAGCCACCACCCTGTATAACAATTTTTAATGGACAACAGTAGCTTTGGTTTTTATACATCCATAGTTTAATCAAAGAGTTTAACCAAATTTCACCATCATAAATAATATTGTAGCACATGTCCTTGAAACTGAATTCCTGTGCAAATTTATTTTCAATTCAGGAATTGTGCTTTATCTTGGCATAGTATCTACTGTGGCGATATGCTTTAGTGAAGGTACATTTAATTACAGTAGGATCATTGTGAAAAGCAGTGAATGCCAAAGGAGTTTTTGTATTACTTTTGCAATAATTGGTTAGCCTTTGATGATTATTGAATGCTTATATGTAACAAAAGTTCTGTTTTAGAAAGATGCTGGTGGTTTTTGGGGAGAAAAAGTAGGGAGTGGGGAGATCATTAAGACAATACCCTTTAGAATAATATAGTGGCTCTTCAGCAGGTGGGGGTAACTTGGATTGTAGTGGCTGTGGGAATCAAAGAAAGAAACACCAGGATTTGATGGCTGATAGATTTCAAGGGAAAAAGAAGGCAAAACATTAGATATCTTGTTCTTTTCAACAAGCAAGACTGGAAAAAATGTGATTGATATTAATATACAAATAAGAAATTCAGATACCTGATGATTTTGAGATGACTATAGTCAGGGATAGGGTCAGCCTGAGGGGAGGCCTGTGAAGTAAGAATGGTCTTTGTATTTTTTTAAAGTTTTTTTTTAAAAAAAAGAATATGCAGCAGAGACCAGTATGTACCCCATAAAGCCTAAATATTTACTGTCTTACTAGATAACACGAAAAGTTTGTAGGACATCAAAACAGATATGTCTTCAAGGTTACAGTGAGTTATGACATAGGGCTGATGTTTAGATGAGGGACAGGACCGGAAATACAGCCTAAATGGGTTTGATGGTTGAAATATACTTTTCAAATTTCAGCTCAAATGGTCTCCCCCGTCTTTTTTTTTTTTTTGTGAAGCCTTACCTATTTGGTAAAATGGTTACATTGTCCTCTGTGTTTTCATATAATTGGGTACATATTTTGTCACAGATATGATATTATATTTGTTAATGCAGAAACTTTTTTCATATATTAGAAAACTTAATGTTCTTCAAAAAGCTATAAAATGATATATTCAATTCCATCATACACACTAGGAACAATTGGTTAGCAAAAAATTACTGCTTCTAAGCAAGTTATATGAAAGCACAGCCACCTACCTACATTTGAGAAGCAGCCTGAGAAGTGGTTCATAGCATGGATTCTGTAGGCAAAACTCCGGGATCAAATCACAGCTCTTTGTCACTTGGTAGTTGTACTACTCAGCATCTCTCTGCCCCATTTTCCTTATCAGTGAAATGGGGGTGTTAATATTGCAGCTTTCCTAAGAGCGTTCTTATGAGGATTAAATTAGTTGCTTTTTGTAAAGTCTTTAGAACAGTGTCTAGCACGTAGTAATTTAAGTGTTTGCTCTTATGATAATTTGTTCATGCATGAACACAAATCAATCTAAGGGTGAATGGCCTTTTTATTCATGGATTATTCTT